CATCATAACCATAGAAATAAGCAAGAATTTATGTACTAAGCAAATTATTTAATCTTGGGGCTAGCGATATATAATTCATATACAAATATTGTTTGAGCCTGATCTTTTCCATTAATCAGTGTCATGAACTCGGCCATGTTAACTGAAAATAACTGAGTAATTTTTCATCATAAAATGTTTTGTTGTAAATGGAAAAGGCTTGTGAGAAAATACTTTTTATTTTCAGTGTTGTTTTGTTATTATTTATATAGTATTATAGCATTTATTAATATTTTAGCTTTCAGTTTGGATTTCAATTTTAATTTCAAGTTTGTTGTCTTTTTCATGTGCTTTATTGGGTTTTTAAAAGTCTTATATTTCGTTTTAATTAATTTTTTGTTAGTTCTTGTTTTAGTAATTTTAGTCCTTCAACAAGGCAACGTGCCTGGCAAGTTTTTCATCTAATATTTAGATTTTGTTATTTCAGTGTTATTTAAATTAATAAAAGACCAATTTTAATAGTTGTAGTTTTAGTTAACACTGCTCATTTTGCTGGTTTATGAAAACACCACTGAGCTATAAAATCACTTGAACACACATCACGTCGTAAGAAGGAACTTTACAGAAGCGCTGGAAGTTTTATCAAAAAAAAAAGATTTTAGTACTGTTTAATATAAATGCAGACTATCCCTGCGTCTCAATGTTCATACTATCCATCCTAAGTAGTTTGTGAGATTAGAATAAGTGTGTCTCAAAGCATAGTATGTTGAAAAGAGTATGCCAAAAGTCCCCGGATGGTCTACTATTTCAGGTCGATTTTTGAAGTGTGGATCCGTGCACACTCTAATGACTAAAATTGTCCACAATCCATTGCGCTTTGGCGAAGGATTCAGTTCAGAACTACAAACACGAATAAAACACGTTAGAAAAACTACAAACGTGGCAGATGCGCGCGATCGACGGTTAGATAGAGAGGTTTACAAAAAGGGGTTTGAGTTGCTAATGATCAACATTTAACCTGGTAAAAAATATTTATTTATTGTTATCCGTGTTATATTTCATCTGCAACAGCAATGTTAACTTTTATAAACATCCTTTTGGTCGTTAACTTTTAAATGCATCATTATGCAGAAAATTAGTGGTCGACAGATATATCGGCTGATATTTGGCATTTTTCAAATATCGGCATTGGCCGATACGTTTTTCTGTTTGGCCGATGTGCTCGAGGCGGGACTTTTGTTTTGACGGCGCACTGGAATTTTATTTTGACGACGCTGACAGCGATCGACTAACTTTAAACTGGTGATTTCAAATTATGCTGCGCGTCATGCTTTTGCCCACTGTCATATTCATGTCATTTTCACTGTGTGCTGTGTGTAAAATGAGTGTTACCTTGGCTTTATTTGAAAAAATATGATTCCCAAATCCCAATGCACACAAACTTCCCAGATTACGGAGTGCCCTGTTGGTTACAGTGTTTACTTACTTTTTAATGATATTTTTATTAAATATTTATTTATTTGTGAAAAATACATTGTCATTTAAAGTACGTTTATTTTACACATTTATTTTTTAATCCATTTTCAAATTATTTAAAATTTCTTAAATATTATTTAAAATAAATAAAATGATATAGGTTTTATATCGGCCCCCCTGCTTTCCAAGATATCGGCATCGGCTGTCAAAAAAACAATATCGGTCGACCACTACAGAAAATATGAGCAGAGTTCTCCGCATGAAAGACCCGCGACTGGAAGATCAACAAGCTACTTCTTTTCTCTCCAGTACGGTAGACAGTTAAATTAAATGAAATGTGGAGGATGTTAACTGGGGATGTGACAGGGTGCTGTAACAGGTGCGACAGAGCGGTCCTTTAAAGACGCAGTTGTGTGACCTGATAGTATGTCCCAAAGCTTGCATACTCTTCTACTACACACTCAAAAGTGTGTACTTTTTCTTCACCAAAAGAGTACATACTTTAAGGGCGTAGTATAAGTACACATTGAGATACTGCACCTATTTACACATTTATTTTTTAATCCATTTTCAAATTATTTAAAATTTCTTAAATATTATTTAAAATAAATAAAATGATATAGGTTTTATATCGGCCCCCCTGCTTTCCAAGATATCGGCATCGGCTGTCAAAAAAACAATATCGGTCGACCACTACAGAAAATATGAGCAGAGTTCTCCGCATGAAAGACCCGCGACTGGAAGATCAACAAGCTACTTCTTTTCTCTCCAGTACGGTAGACAGTTAAATTAAATGAAATGTGGAGGATGTTAACTGGGGATGTGACAGGGTGCTGTAACAGGTGCGACAGAGCGGTCCTTTAAAGACGCAGTTGTGTGACCCAAAAGCTTGCTGTCCCAAAGCTTGCATACTCTTCTACTACACACTCAAAAGTGTGTACTTTTTCTTCACCAAAAGAGTACATACTTTAAGGGCGTAGTATAAGTACACATTGAGATACTGCACCTATTTAGGATTGCTGGTGTTCTTACGATTTGTGCTACCTCCCATTAAAAAGATAGGTAGCACAAATCAATAGCGAAAAAATGCTACCTATCAGATTGTGCTACCAGCATCTTATTCATGTGGTTTGAGGCTTTTTTTAATGTCCATACCTACCCCTACCCTAGACCAACCCGTCCATACCTACTCCTACCCTAAACCTACCCGTCCATCCATACCTACCCCTACACTAAACCAACCCGTCCATACCTACCCCTACCCTAAACCTACCCGCCCATACCTACCCCTACCCTAAACGTACCCTTAAAACAATGTTAATATATTTGTGGTAGCACAATCTGGTATTTGTTCATGTTTCATCTGTAGTCGTTACACCGGATGTCACGTGATGGCGTAATTATGTTGTAAAGAACTGCTGAATCGATTTTAATTGGTTCTTTGACAAGAACGGCTCGAAAGAACCGATTCGCGGGAATGAGTCGGACTTCACTGCGAGTAAAAATAGCGCGCGAAATCTCGAAGTGACGTCTGAAGCGGCTGACGCTCTTCGTGACGGAACAGTTCTAGAGTGCTCTAGTGTTCTCTGGTGTTCTCTGGTGTCCTCTAGTGTCCTCTAGTGTTCTCTAGTGTTCTCTAGTGTCCTCTAGTGTTCTCTAGTGTCCTCTAGTGTTCTCTAGTGTCCTCTAGTGTTCTCTAGTGTCCTCTAGTGTTCTCTAGTGTCCTCTAGTGTTCTCTAGTGTCCTCTAGTGTTCTCTAGTGTCCTCTAGTGTTCTCTAGTGTCCTCTAGTGTTCTCTAGTGTCCTCTAGTGTTCTCTAGTGTCCTCTAGTGTTCTCTAGTGTCCTCTAGTGTTCTCTAGTGTCCTCTAGTGTTCTCTAGTGTCCTCTAGTGTTCTCTAGTGTCCTCTAGTGTTCTCTAGTGTCCTCTAGTGTTCTCTAGTGTCCTCTAGTGTTCTCTAGTGTCCTCTAGTGTTCTCTAGTGTCCTCTAGTGTTCTCTAGTGTCCTCTAGTGTTCTCTAGTGTCCTCTAGTGTTCTCTAGTGTCCTCTAGTCCCATACACTAAACCAACCCGTCCATACCTACCCCTAACCTAAACCTACCCGCCCATACCTACCCCTACCCATCCATACCTACCCCTACCCTAAACCTACCCGTCCATACCCGCATGAAAGACCCGCGACTGGAAGATCAACAAGCTACTTCTTTTCTCTCTAGTACGGTAGACAGTTAAATGAAATGAAATGTGGAGGATGTTAACTGGGGATGCGACAGAGCGGTCCTTTAAAGACGCAGTTGTGTGACCTGATAGTATGTCCCAAAGCTTGCATACTTATATTTGTGGTAGCACAATCTGGTATTTGTTCATGTTTCATCTGTAGTCGTTACACCGGATGTCACGTGATGGCGTAATTATGTTGTAAAGAACTGCTGAATCGATTTTAATTGGTTCTTTGACAAGAACGGCTCGAAAGAACCGATTCGCGGGAATGAGTCGGACTTCACTGCGAGTAAAAATAGCGCGCGAAATCTCGAAGTGACGTCTGAAGCGGCTGACGCTCTTCGTGACGGAACAGTTCTAGAGTGCTCTAGTGTTCTCTGGTGTTCTCTGGTGTCCTCTAGTGTCCTCTAGTGTTCTCTAGTGTTCTCTAGTGTCCTCTAGTGTTCTCTAGTGTCCTCTAGTGTTCTCTAGTGTTCTCTAGTGTCCTCTAGTGTTCTCTAGTGTCCTCTAGTGTTCTCTAGTGTTCTCTAGTGTCCTCTAGTGTTCTCTAGTGTTCTCTAGTGTCCTCTAGTGTTCTCTAGTGTCCTCTAGTGTTCTCTAGTGTTCTCTAGTGTCCTCTAGTGTTCTCTAGTGTTCTCTAGTGTCCTCTAGTGTTCTCTAGTGTCCTCTAGTGTTCTCTAGTGTCCTCTAGTGTTCTCTAGTGTCCTCTAGTGTTCTCTAGTGTCCTCTAGTGTTCTCTAGTGTCCTCTAGTGTTCTCTAGTGTCCTCTAGTGTTCTCTAGTGTCCTCTAGTGTTCTCTAGTGTCCTCTAGTGTTCTCTAGTGTCCTCTAGTGTTCTCTAGTGTCCTCTAGTGTTCTCTAGTGTCCTCTAGTGTTCTCTAGTGTCCTCCAGTGTTCCGCCCATACCTACCCCTACCCTAAACCTACCCGCCCATACCTACCCCTACCCTAAACCTACCCGCCCATACCTACCCCTACCCTAAACCTACCCGCCCATACCTACCCCTACCCTAAACCTACCCGCCCATACCTACCCCTACCCTAAACGTACCCTTAAAACAATGTTAATATATTTGTGGTAGCACAATCTGGTATTTGTTCATGTTTCATCTGTAGTCGTTACACCGGATGTCACGTGATGGCGTAATTATGTTGTAAAGAACTGCTGAATCGATTTTAATTGGTTCTTTGACAAGAACGGCTCGAAAGAACCGATTCGCGGGAATGAGTCGGACTTCACTGCGAGTAAAAATAGCGCGCGAAATCTCGAAGTGACGTCTGAAGCGGCTGACGCTCTTCGTGACGGAACAGTTCTAGAGTGCTCTAGAGTTCTCTGGTGTCCTCTAGTGTTCTCTAGTGTCCTCTAGTGTTCTCTAGTGTCCTCTAGTGTTCTCTAGAGTCTCGAGCAGCGCAGGGCTCAGCGAGCCGTTACCATCTCCGGTGCACGACCAGGTCACAAAGGCTGCTCGCACAAGTAAGTGGTTTTTCTTTTGTATGTATAAGTTACACACTCACATCCGTCGTTAAATGGATGCTTGATTTCAACGTCGACAAAATACCCAACGAGGAGGCGCGGTTCTCTCTTCACTTCTTCAGATTAGCATGGCAGCTTGTTCTTGTTTGGTGTGACACACAGTTACCTGGTATTTGATGACATAACTAGGTATTTACGTGTCAGTCCGTTGGCTAAAGGATACTAAACTATCCAGTTACAAAACTACCGAGCCTGAACCGACCTTAAATTAGCTCATTATTGTTGCTAGCTCAAGGTATTGCGGTTCACAACAGAAAGACGTAGATATTGTTTTTATTCATTAAACAGATACGTTTAACTGTCCCACAAAATAACAGTGTAGTAATAAGAGTTAAAAGTTGCATGACTGGATTCCAGTATCGGCCTCTAATTTGACGGTTAGCATGGGCTGCTAATATTTTCATAAGACCCATATGTTTAGTGAAAGGACATAATGATTGACACTCCGTGTCTCCATTAGCCTTCCACTAGGCATGTCCGGTGGGCGGGGTTAGGAATCTCCAGCCAATGAGCGCGCTGAATCAGTGCAGTGGGCGGGCGGTGTTCAGCGACTCATCAAGGGGAGTGGAATGTGGACGCAAGGTCAAAACATAGGCGTGTGGATGGAGAGAAGGGGTCCATGTTTATTTCAACCACATGGTCATACCAGTTTCATTTGAGCGGAAAAGGACACCGCTCACAGTTCTTCATTTTAATGAAGTAGAGCATAGCTCAGATTATTACAGTAGCAGCGGATGTGATTTATTTCTTAGGAATGAAGGAAAGCCAATGCTTTGCTAAAACGCGAGGAAAAACTCCTCACAAAGTTGCATACGACATGTTGTGTTAAAATATGAATTTAATGATGCCATAAATATTCATTAAGATATAAAATAAGTCAAGGGTATGTAGTGTAATATGCATTAAATGTTGTGTTTTCTACACTCCTGGTGACAGATGTTGTAAATTGCACAATCTGTTGTTGCAATTGCACAATAAACTATTTTTTAGTAGTTATAAGCAAAGGATGTTTTTAACTCTGCTTAGCATATAGTCTGTAGTATGTTTTTGGGAGATGAAAATAAACTCACCTTTGACCCTCATTTCTTTCTGTGCATTAGTGAAGATGCAATACTGATGAACCTTTCTTGTGGCAAAAAAGAATCAAAAGTCATCGTGACCTCATTATGGCACTGTTATCCGACTTATGCTCTTGTTTATTGGCAAAGTGGCACATATCAATGGGGTGACAAATAAATTCAAAGTTCACTCATAGTTTCTTTCATCATTCGATGAACATTTTCTATATTTATAATTTGCCGTGTGTACTCCAGCCAAAAACTTTTGTAATTCCACAGTCACTTTGTATATTTAAAACACACCAAGTTTTTTACAGTTTGCAAGACATTTGGTTCTGTTTCTCAAAAATCCTTTGGACCTCATGGTCTTTATCGGGAGCTTGACTAGCTCTTTGACCTTTGTCTGTTCTCTGGAAGCAGCCATTATGCCACGTAAAGCACAAAACTGCATAAACAGATATGAAATGAGATTACGTTCTGAGCTGTATGAAGATCTTTCATGATGATGAGTTACTGTTGTACCTGATTATAACTATTTGTTTCTTTTGCACTAAAAATCTCATTAAAACCTTCGTGATACCCAGGGAATGACACATATCAAGAGGCATTTTAATGCATATATCTGACTTTTTTTTTTTCTTTACTCGTGTATTCCTTTCCTTTTTTCAGAGTACAAACCACAGATAGGATTCAAAGGTCAAGGGCTTCTGGAACTATCCATTCTTCCCCAGGAAGTTGAAACGCCTTTTCCGTTTGAGCTAAAGAAGGAGGTGACGCTTCTCTTTTCTGTTGCGGCACTGGGGACATCCAGGAACTTGTGAGTGTGGGTGGCGCTCATTCAAAAGACTGCGATGCACCGCTTAAGGACTTGTGCGGCACGGCTCCGGCCGATCACGGCCTCACAGACTGCTAAAAATCTATCACAGCAGAGGCCAGTGGCCACCCCTAGGACGTTTCAGCCATTCAGGTGCTACACAGCACCGGTGGCCGCAGAGCCGTTTCTGAACGGAACAAGCTCTAACTATGTCGAGGAGATGTACTATGCATGGTTGGAGAATCCCAAGAGTGTGCACAAGGTAAGAGGCAGAGGACGTGCAGGTGGATTATGGGAAGAAGGAATGAAGAGACGTCTCTTTCAGTGGTGCCAGAGGTCATGTCCTCCTGACTGTTCCCAATTTCCATTTATATATCTTTAACCCAGTCCCTAAGAAAAAGTTTTGGGGATTTCATCATAACAAAGGCAAAAAACGATTCCAATGCAAGTATACGCTGAGTTTCCGTCTGTCTGCAGATGCTGGGTTGCAACTTGTATGTGTAAGGTCACATTACTGGGATCCCTGTAGTATTTTTAGAGCAGTCATGAGCGTGTGCCGGTTCCAGGACACAGTGACACACAGCGTCTTTATGAGTGTTTAGTTGTTTTCACCCACTGTACTTCTAATGAGGTTTTATGGAATAACCCTCAGTTATAATAACCACCTTCACAGTTCAAAAGTGAGTACAAGGTCCAGGGTATCTTGGGTTAATGTTTTGCTCAGTGTTCTGTGTATGGATATTTCCCCTGTCCTTAAGGCAATTACATATTCTTGGATTCAGTTTTATTTTTGTTATTGTGTTACAAGATCGCATTACATCACATTTTTTTTTAGAATCGTCCCGTATAGAACATGTTTCTGCAGGTCTTAAAGTCTTAATTTAAGGCCTTAAAGGTGTTAAATCAGAGCAATAAGTTTTAAATTCATAAAGTTATGCCATTAAATGCATTACTAAAAATTAGTATCTACTGGAGTATTTGTTTTCCAGTACAAATATCTAAACAACCTTAAAGCAAGATACATTTACTTGAGATGCAAAATGAAGATACGAAGTCTTATTTTCTGAGAAATGAATGAAATTAAATTAAGTGAGTTTATGTTTGAAACAAGAACAAATATCTGTCAATTGGAAATGAAAATTTGTTTTCCTATTGAATTAAGTACATCTTTATTCTGAACTCATTGGCAAATATATATTTGTTTGTTTGTTTTTGACTCATAATTTTCCTCAGTTTCACAAAAAAAAAATCGTGTGTCATTTTGCTTCTCCGGTAAATGTATGATTTCAGAAACTTTAGACACTGGAAAACAAGACAAAAGTTCTGAGGAACAACAACACTTTTTGCAGTGTGATCAGAAGGTATAATAACAGTTATTTCCATATTTGAGTAGTCAGCTATCCAAACCTTTTTTTTTTTTTTGTAAAATTAATTTTAAAATAATGGAGATTGGTTTATAACTCATTGTGCACTCCCTAGACATGTACATTTAGAGAACATATTGTTGCATTGTGTTCCCTTCAATTTATTCTTTAAATTTTATTTATTTGTCTTAAAAAACCTTACATTTACATTTTATAAGACCTGCAGAAACCATGTATATTACACTGGCACAAAAAAATAAAAATTTTTTAGTTTTTGCTCACATCTGACACAGTTGCACACGTGACACAAAACACAAAAATCCGCATGAGATCTGTTTTTTTTTTTTTCCCGCATCTGATCTGAGCCACTTTCAAATGGGGTGTTAAATCAGATACATATCCGATATCTGGACATCTAACCTACGTCTAAACATATCCTATTCCCCTCAGAACTCCGAGCCACCACAATGTGAGGACGACATGTTTGACCATAAAGATATCGTTTTAATGCCGGAGTGCTGTATGCGCTCATGTTTTATTGAGGTGGGAACATATGTATGGAATTGCACAACATTCAGGAGCTGATTTTCAACCCCTGCCCCATGTGTTATATAAATACAACAGCTTTGCTACTAAAAGCTGCGTTATATTTCTCAGCAATGTAGTGACAACTTAGCTGTTGGCTACTCGCTCACATGCTCGCTCTCATGAATTCATTGGAATTCATTCATATAAATATAATCTTACGGTGCAACTTTTTCAGCTCATAATTCTACATCTAACAAGCTATAGATAAAATAACATGAAAATTACTGTTATTTTCTGGTCTTTATCCGTTCAATCAGATTTTGTGCTGCAGAACATCCGTGGCAGCTGTTATCCATGCTGGCAAATAATAATGGCCACTCGACATTATATAAATAATTTTAATAGCACAGTCATGCAAAACCTGAGGGTCTACCATGTGCATAGTAAAGTGATGACTGACAGTCATTTTGGGAGTGAGTTATTGTAAAAACAGATGTTGGGTACCAGTCGATTCTAAGTAAATGTAAACAGGTGGGCCAAAACATCGGATATGGTCAAAAGATCAGATCTGTGCATTAAGACTTGCAGTGTCAATGCAGCCTAAGTAAACTGGACCTGGGCTGCAATTCTCAAAAGCATTGTAAGTTAAGTTGATCGTAGAGACCATTGGTGGCAGTGGTTCCTTGATCTACTTAGGCTTATGGATATTATGCTTTTGGGAAACACAGTCTCTTTGCCCTTTCTAGATCAGACATTCACTAAGGTTCTGAAGGTTTTGTGTTTTAAATGTTGTTGCTGTAGTTTTTATTCCAGTTGCAACTTTTTGTCCAAGTTACCTCACCTTATATTATTCTGTTTTAGTGTTGTTAACCTTAAACTGCCTTATAAGCGAGTAATGCATAAATCTAAATACAAAGCCTACATTATGGGTGTTGAAGTTACCCGTCCTTTTTGGCAAAAGGGAACGCCACAGCCATTTTTGAAAGTTTTCACTAAATCATTTAGTCCCAGGTAGGGCTGGACAATAATTCGATATCAATATGTATCGCGATATAATTTTTTTCAATAACGGTGATATGATTTTTAAACACATTTCCGATATTTCGATATACATTACCAGTTGTATCACTCTAAAAGCGCCTCCTGCTGGCAGAGAATGAGTTTTCATTTTAAATAAGCCCCCGTAAATAAACGAGTGCTCCCGAGCTGTCTTTCACTTCAGCTGCAGGGCCAATGGCTAGAATGCGTAACGCTGCAAATCCAACGTTGAGGCTCCACTATTATTATTGCATTTCATCTGTCCCACTTATTTATGCACGTTTGTTCGTGGGAAAGTGAGCAAGACACGACAGTGATTATAGTTAAATAAGATGAAAGTCATAGGCTATAATATAAAGAAATTAGCTACATTTATTTTCAAATTAAATATCACAACACACATTTATCATTCAGTCTAGTGCGTTTTACATATAATGTAAGCGCAAC